ATATTATAAATTATTATTACATATTATTACATATTCATAATTTTTAGTAACACTGTGTTCCAGTACATTTTTAAATTAACTGCAAGAAACATCACATGTTTAATTTATTTAAAGAAAATATTTTGTGAACCCACAGTAATGATTCATTGCAATGTTCGTGGAAATGAGGCATACTGTGGCGAGGATGCTCATTGTTTGTTATACGAACAGTGTGGTGCTTCACAAATTGGAGGAGTAAATCTTAGACCGATACGAAACAATATTGATGGCACTTTTGATCTCTCCGAACTTCAAGCTAAACTTCGGAAAGATAGAGATCATGAGCCTATCTCTAAACTGGTACTTGTTGAGAACACAATACATGGAAAAATCGTTCCACAAAGCTGGCTTAAGGAATTAGTATCATTTTGTAAGGAACGTGATTTGAAGTTACATATGGATGGAGCTAGGCTGTGGAACGCAAGTGTAGGATCCAAGCAGTCGGCAGAAGAAATTGTTTCTGGCTTTGATTCTGTGACTTTTTGTCTGAGCAAAGGTCTAGGTATTTATTCTCTTGGAGTTTACACTTTTATTTTTTCTATTGTTTTCTCCTTATAGATATTTTTTCTTGAAAATTGTTAAAAAATTTCAAAATGAGCTGTTTTTTGTATAAACTGACTATAGTGAAATTTCAATTTTTTTAAATATATTTTGCATTTCTGATTTTCTGATTGAAATGAGTTAACATTTATTTTGACAAAACATGTTCATTAGAAAAATTCTATTTTTTATTAAATTGTTTAAATTCTATTTTCAATATTTAGTAAAGTGGTGTAGATGTAAATTTGTATAACATTTACCGATTCATAATAATCTTCCTCGTTTGAATGTTCGATTCACGCTGACTCTCGAAATTATTCAACTTTCGTCTGGAAAGTTGTTTAATACCGTCAATAGTTTTGAAAATATTCGCGTGGATCAATTTAAGTAGCACCCTTTCTACATTTGTATGAAATGCTCCACATATTAGAGTTACAAGCAAAGATCTACATTATTTAATGCATTGAAATGATCAAAGTTATAAAATTATTCCTAATGTAACATATATTTGTTTAAGATAATTATTAAAAAAAAAAAAAAAAGGAAATGTTTCTATCTAGGTGCTCCCGTGGGTTCGCTTCTTTGCGGAAGTAAAAGCTTTATCACTGAAGCTAGAAGAATAAGAAAAGTCCTTGGTGGTGGTATGAGACAAGTTGGTGTTCTTGCTGCAGCTGGACTGGTAGCTCTTGAACACATTCCAAATTTGATAAACGATCATAAAAGAGCTTTTGTCCTTGCGTCTATGATAAATGATATGCAATCAACAGTGTTTACCGTTGATTTAAGTACAGTACAAACAAATATGTTTTCCATGCAAGTTAATTCTAATGTTGTTTCTGCAACAAAGTTTGCTCAGTGCTTGCAACAGCTTGATAATGATAATGAAGATAAAATTATCGTGAAAAGTTTAGCATTAAATGATTCATCAGTTAGATTTGTATTTTCCTTGGAAATTACAGATAATGACTTGAAGTTAGCTATTCAAAGAATTAGACAAGTTATCAAAAAATTCGACCCTAAACTTTAATTGTTATTTTTGTTGATATCTCTTAGCTAATAACATATTTCGTGCGGTGGGAGAATTACAAGCTTTACCAGACATTGAAACGAAGTTAAAAAGTCAGGATATTTTTGTATCAATGAAATATCGTTAGTTGTAGGAACAAAAAATTTCGTGCAAATGTTTATAGCGAGTAGTGTCAGAGGTGTGAAAGAAGTGTTTTGGTAAACAAGGTTTTGTGTAGATGTGATCAAATGTATCTTGGGAATATCAGCGTGTTTGTTCTAATTGATTGCGGGTGTGCACCAATTATTTAGTTATCTACTAGTAGTGGTTGTCGAGATAAGTATTATGTTGTCTAAAGCTGCGTCTACACTGTATAACAAAACAGTGTTGTAAAACAAATTGCTTTATAACGTTGTTGTACAACTTGTTACAAGATTATATCTTTTGGTATTGTATTTAGTAACAAGACTAACAACTTTATATAACATCTCGCATCTCATTACTGATAATGGCGCCAAACGGTAGATGGAAAATGTTTTATAACTGCACCACACTGGTTTGAATCGACTGCCAACATATTATATAACAATGGTTTAAAACTTTCTTTCATCTTTACCGACACTTGATGGATAACATATAACTTGCTATAATATAACACGAAAAATGTTACTTTAACATAATGTTACATAAATTTGTTTCTTTCACCTTTTCTAACAAGTTTCATAACTTCACTATGTGTTGTGTCAGATAGCGTATTTGCCCAGTGTTGGGCAAAAGTTACTTCAAATAATAAATAAAATAATAACGAGTAAATCAATTTTATTCGTTATTCGTGAATTTAGTCTTCCAATCGCCAAAGCAGAGTCCATAAGGCGTTGCTTCTATGCGGTTCTGAGTTTGGCAACATTAGTAGAGCAATAAGACGAAGTCGGTTCATCGCATGGTTGTCAGTTTGGCATCATGATAAATGGACGAATAATGAATAAACGATTAAGGAATTGTAATCGAATAACGAATAAACTTTCATCCGTTACTCATTATTCCAATAACGTCCAATTCTTATAGCCGCAGCTTCAGTTAAGTATTTCGTTACCTGAGCTCAATTGTTGTGTTATCTAAGAAATTTTATTAAATATGTTATAAATAAATTATATATTTTTTTGTATTTTTAATTTATTTTAATATACATAATATATTTATATCAATTTAAGTAACTTTGTTGAAAATATTCACTTTTGCAGCTTATCTGAGGTAGACGTATAAGTAATCAGAAAATCTGTTCTTGCGGCCTGCGAAACGTGCCATTTGTGGCAAGGTCCCGTTCACACTGGGGTTTTCCCAGGCCCGCTTTGCCTGGGCATCATGCAGCATCGGGCAGGACGACGCGGTCTCACTTTTTACTTGACCACCGGACGTATTACTTGGCGAGCGACTCTTGAACAACGCGACCATATTTCTGTAGTAAATACAGTTCGTTTTGCGTAAATTATCAATGCCTAAACAATTTGCGCCCTCTCTATATTCCGTTTTGGAGTGTTCCTGGTATTACCTTTTGTAAAGTTTTAGTATAAACAATATTAACAAAAGTGAAAGTGAATATAGTGAATGAATTAAAAATTTTATTAGTACAGTATTGTTATTAACTATTAATATTTTATTAATAATAATAGCGATAATAGTAATAAGAGTGACATCAACAACGATTCAACGAAAGCAGAGTGCAGTAATACCAACATAATTGTAGCTGCAATAAAATTAACAATAGTAAAAGTATCCTTTTCCATTTATTTTTTAAAATTTATTAAATTATATTTGCTATAGAAACGGATGATATCCATATAAAATGTACGAAACAGTCATGTATACACATACTTATGTACATATATTCATGCTTGAAAATGTTTCATTAAGGGGAGAACCCCAATAGATGGGTCGAAAAAATCGATTTCTGTTTTGCATAAAACGATAATTTCATATCTCGAAGATATACATGTTTTTAAAGTTTTAGATCTGAATTCAAAGAATTAACGGAGCTATAACTTGTTGGAACATGGCGCTTAGTCTCGTCCGTTCTTTCGTCCATAACATGGAAATCCCAACCCACTAGGCTTTCACACCTCTTTAGACAACCAAAACCCATCCTATTCTAAAAACTTTCGAGGTTCACAATAGTTTCTTTTTTCTGATCTAACTCAAAGAGAACATCAATTAGTCGCATTTTCGCAAATGGGTTCCATTCATTGTGAGTGGCGCGTTATAGCTTCATGAGGCCCCGGGCAAATTTGAATTTGGGGGCCCCATGTACAGTGTTGGAGTCAGACATTTTTCTTCAGGAATTTTTTCTTGTGGGGGGGGATCAATATTTTGAACAACTTTTAAATGGCCAAAAATTTTGGCAAATAATTACCGCAGTTTTTAACTTTCGACATTGAGGTTATAAAAGATTGGTTTTGGGCCCACCTCGTTGGTGGAGGCTCCGGGCAATTGCTCTTTTTGCCCATAGGATAACGCGCCACTGGTGTGACTAAAGAAAACATTATCATCGTGTCGTTGAATTTTTGACTGTTTTTGGTCGCGATTGCGGATTTAGTTGTTTGTAGAGAGTGGAAGCAAAGTATCAAGTTTGGTGAAGCATCAGATCACGGAGTGGGTCTCTTTTATCAACGCTGTTTATGAAATTAACTGAAGAATTATACATATTTGTTATGAGATTTCTTAGATTTAAATCTTTTTTTGTAGTCTTATTCGCAATAAAATTTTCTCGTAAATTCGCTTAAGGATACATCTAAGGGAATGGAAAGATCGATATTTCGTTTATTTCGCGTACTTAAAAAGTTTAAATCACTTTAGTCCAATTTGGTTTCTACTATAATACTGACGTAGTTGATCTTTCGTTACGTTGTTCCACAAGCAATCTAATTCTTCATTCGTCGGGATAATATTTTTCACGATCCTTATATACGTATCGTATGGACATAATGTAGTGCACTTAGGAAGGGTGTAAGCGATTAAGTTTCCTGTAACGCCAGTCCAAAGGAACATCTGTCGAAAAATTGACGACATAAAGTTTCATGTTGAATAATTCCAAAAATGTTGAATTATAAAAGAAGACAAAAAGGGAAATACGACAAACTGTTGATTTAGTGCGTAATTATTTTAAACAGCTAACGAGTAAGGTATGGTAAATAAAACTTACTTGAACGAACTCTTTACCACTGTCGTTTCGCAATTTTTCAACTATAATTGCAGATCCATACTGGGGGATTTTCGGTTCAGTTAATCCATGGGCTTTAGAAACAGACGCAATGTTTATTTCGTGTCCGCCGTATAAATAAATCTTTGGTGCAGTTGTATTTCCTTTGAAATTCATATTTTCTATAAGTTGCTTTACAAACGCACCTCCAGACAGTCGTTTCATTTTAATTGTGGCAGATTGAAGTTCATAATCTAGTGCCACAATTTCTTCTATTCTCTTCTGAACATTTGCAGTGGCCCATTGTGGAAGGGTAATATTCATACCTTTCTGAAAAATTGCAAAATTTTTACTTACTTTTTATTATAATAACGTGCAATTACAATTTTAATAACAATTCTAACGTACAACATTCTTTTATTTTATGCGAGATATAATATTATCACGTTTCCGCAAATGTCTTTGTTTTAGAACTTGATAAGAAAAAATGTTTTTTTTAAAACTTTTTTAGGAATATCATGTTAATTATTATTACGTAAATAGTAAGATTTCAAGGGTCATAATGTAAATGTATTTAACTGTAAAGTGCAAAGTGAAAGTGATTTTGCACTTTGTTTACAACATATTGTATACGGATATTTGCACTATTTGTCTTTTTAAATCATTTTTTGTAATACGTAACTTTTTGGTACTATGAAAAGCTTCTATTAGGTTGGTGAGAAATGATCGATCAGAGTTCTTGTACTTGATATCTTATAATTTCGATATAATTTACACATGCCAATGAAAATAACATCCACCGGAATTTATACATTTTTTCCAGCGGGTTAAAAAGCCATTTATATCTTTATTCAAAAATTCTACAGTTCTAGAATTAATAAACTCTTCAAAGGCTTCCACAACCATTGCTTTTGTAACGAAGTTTGTTTGCTGCTTGCGAAAATGGTCTGAGTGTTTAAAAAAAAAGATAGTCCGTTCAAGACAAATCAGGAGAATACGCGAATTGTGGAAGAACTGATAATCAGGTGGAATTTTGATAATTCCCGATTACTTACCATCGTAATTATATTCTCCAACTGATCAAGCTACTGAAGAAAGTGTTTATAGCACCGTTCACTTATTCAAATGCACGATTACAAAGCAAAATTAAAATTAAAACTATGAAATTGTACCTGTGATGCTAGGTACTGGTAGATTTTGCTAGTTCCTATTATTGGGTCCGAGGTCATATCGGAACCGGTGTTCTCCTGAAGATAGTCAAAAAGGTCTTTGTACTTTGATAGTTTTATACGAACTATTGTTGAATTTTTTACTTTCTTCAATTCGTTTTGATATCTATAAAAAAACAACAGTTTGGTAATTAAGTATCTGTAAAAAGCATGTATACTAATGAAATACAAACAGGTAATATATGTAAACGGATTTAATGGATGGTATAAGTTGTTTAAAACGCGAAAGCAATATCTTAGAGAAAATCGAGAGAAGAGCAAACTCAAAAAATTCGTTAATAGTTTTAATACGTGTGTTTTGACAAAAACTGAGTTTTGAAAATCATTTATGTGAAATTGTTACCATTGCACAAAGTATTTTATAACTACAGGTTAAAAGAAACAATAGAAGCGAACCATGGAAGGTACATTTTTTGTCTCTCCTTATCTTATTATATTTCTGAGCTGCATTATATCCGTGACTATTAGAAAAGAAACAATCGAATTCTGTTGTATTTGCACGTAGTGTGTCGGTTAAGAAAATGAGTGACCGTAATATCAAAAGCCTGAAGGATCAAGTTTACCACATTTCTGTCTTTCGCAGTTTTAAAAATCTAAGTTTCTTATACACCAAGTCTGTGGAGGGTGAGCGATGTCATAATGGGCAAATTGGTGTACTTCTCACCCTTGGACAATCCTGGTCCTTGAGCATACCGCCTACCCTGCAAAAGTCCGAGTCCGTAGGGTAGCGGTATGACGCCTTGGCGGAAAATTAGGCCCAAGGGCGAGAAGTGGTTTGAACTTGGGTTAATTGCCCCTGCACTACGTCATGCATTTATAACACGTCAGTTGTTATTAACACTTTACCGACCGGTAGCCTATTTATCGGCTCTTTGCCACCAACGTTTACCGACCGGTAGCCTATTAATCGCTTTTTTGCCGCCGGCGCTTTTCGACCGATAACCTATTAATCGGTCAAAGTTTGTTTTAACATTTCTATAGGTATAAGAAAAAGCGCATATATTCCCGTGCGATAGCCTAGAGTCTAAGCAGAGCCGGTGTCAGCGATGTATCTGCGGCCGAGTGAGAGGTGGGAAGTGCGTAGAATGTTCAACCGCTACCGGTCGGTAAAGTGTTAATTGCATATTAGGTCGTTGAAAAAGTTTTGTCGTACTTCGTTGTTTGAATTTAAATAATTATAATTCTGCTAAAAGTTAACGGATTTTGTTCGAAATAAGAATCATTACAATTGATACACCTTTGCCAATGTTTTACTAATCTGTTTGTACCATTTACAAGATAACTACGAGGTCTGGATAACGATCGCACGTTGCTGCAGTTAAATATCACGTAGTACAGCAAATGTGAAAATTTTGTTTACACATACAATTACCCGAATTAATATTCGAACACTCTTTGAAACAATATAACTTTTGAGAAATTGGACCAAACGAGTTGAATTTTCTTGAGAAATTAGAAGAGTTAGTTTACTAGGCGACGTGTGCAAAATTTTGAAAAAATTGCAATTGGTGGAAATCGCCGAGAAAAGAGTAAATGTCACTTTTTACAATTTTTTTATCCGAGCCTGTAATGAAAATTTGAAACGTACGTTTTGTGGATTTATGTCAATTACAATGCATGCTGAAAATTTCATCGAAATCGGTTAATGTTGCCACGAGCTACAAACGGTTAAAAATTGTGAAAGACGCAGTTTTTCACTACTTTCGGGCTGTAACTAATAAATCTAAAGATTCTTATATCTTTCGATGCCTGTCACTTGTTTATACGTACACCAACCGATTTCGATGAAATTTTCAGCATGTGTATAACTGAGATAAATCTATAAAACGTATGTTTTAAATTTTTATTACAAGCTCAGATAAAAAAGTTGTGAAAAGTGACCTTTACATATGCCTGTGTTACTTTACTAAGGAATGTTTCTGTTACTCTCCGTCTTGTTATAAATATAACGTTACAAACAATCTAACGTATAGTCACAATGAAAAGAAATAACGATTTATTTAAGTTCTGTATACTTACGTTGGACAAGCTGTCAGGAACATAAGTGAGTCCACGATTATTGGTAAGTTTACTATTGGTACAGCAGACCAATCCATTTGATTCGATGTAGTGTCTGTCGAAGGATATAATCCTTTCAGAACTAGCTGCACGGACATTTTTGTCCGTTGAAAATCCGTACTGCGAGCATTAACATCGCTATATCGAGGAGAATTACCCAATAATGTATTATACTTTTGCTTCAACAGTGTCCCAAGGTGATATTCTCTCATCTTCCCTGCCTAGGAAGAAATGTACTATTTCAAATTCATCGCATCGTACGTCTCTACATTTTTTTTTATTAATTTTGCTCCTAATCCATGTAAAATGCACGCATGTTATATTTATAGAGTACAGTGGTCCCGATATTGAAGTGTCTCTTTTTTTTTTTGGTATACTTAGCAACTAAAAGTTTACGTTAAAAATGTTCATTTCCTATAGAAATATGAAAGTCTGAGAATCGTAAGAATCTACTTCTGGTGTACTTCTATCCTTTAATATAAACTGTATAAATATACAGGGTGTCCCGTAAAGAGTGTAACACCCGGAAATGGGGGGTTGCTGGGGTGACTCTGAACAACATTTTCCTTTACCAAAATGTTGGTTGAAGCTTCGTTTTTGAATTATTAACGAAAAACACTGGCCAATCAGAGCGCGCGTAGAGCCCGCGCCCAGGCACGGGAGCGCAG